GGAAGTCCCGAAGAAAATTATGAATTATTGTGTTCATACTTGTATATGATGACAAGTAAGAACTCGGGAACTTTTACTAACATAAAGATAGACGACAACAACAGGTAAACATTTTAGGACATGCTGTCTTTAGCCTTGTTAATTTTTGAGTTGTAACCAGAAGTTGAGGACTGCCTATCCTTAAGTTTTGAACTTGTAAATAAAAGTTAAGGACTTCCAGTCCTTAAGTTTTGAACTTTGAAATAAAAGTTAAGGACAGCATGTCCTTAAGTTTATAACTTGTAAATGTAAGTTAAGGACTGACTGTCCTAAACTTCAGGTATTTTAACCTTGTTTTATATTGTATTTTCAGGTTTCTTTATATGTTTTACGCATATGGATCATCGATAGCTGGTTGGAATCATTGTAGACCAGTGATTGCTGTTGATGCAACTTTTTTGAAGTCAAAATATCGTGGTGTTTTAATGATTTCAGTTTCAAAAGATGCAAATAACCAAATTTTCCCATTAGCCTTTGGAATAGCAGAATCTGAAAACAACAATTCCTATGAGTGGTACTTTAGTCAGCTTCGCAATGCAATTGGGAGCCGTGAGAATTTGATTTTTTTATCAGACAGGCATCAAGCTATTGCAAATGGCATTGTAAAGGTATATCCTGAAAGCCATCATGGGATTTGCATCTATCATTTGGAGCAGAACCTAAAGCGAAGAAAGGTGAAAAGTGAGGTCATAAAACTTTTCCAAAGTGCTGCAAGAGTATACAAGCGTAAAGAATTTGACATATACATGTCAGATATTGCAAATGTAGATAAGAAAACTTATGACTACTTGATGGAAGAACCACCGGAAAGATGGGCACGTTCTTGTAGTCCACGACGAAGATATGACATGCTCACAACAAACATAGTTGAGTCGATGAATTCAGTGCTATTAGAAGCAAGGGAGCTGCCTATACTAAGAATGATGGATTTCATTCAAGTGAAGCTACAACATTGGTTTTATGAAAGAAGAAATAAAGCAGAAGGAACATTTTATGATGTTTCTTGTTGGGTAGAGGAGGAATTGAAGAACAGAATAGATTTAGCATTTACTTTGAACGTAAGTATTATGTTTTATGTTTATATTATGATTTAAACATTTTTTAACATAATGTACTCACTTATAATTTTTCAACATGGGCGGCTTCAAAATGATGTCTAGCCCGTACCTCTTCACGTTAGAAGCACCATCTGTGAAAAGGGTCCATACCCCTGATGATGTACCTGATTTTAACATGAGTTCCTTTTCAACTTCGGCTACGAGGGTTGGCGTGAAATCGGCCACAAAGTACGCTAAAATTTAGGACTTGATGGTTGTTCAAGGTTGATACTCGATATCGTATCCACTGAGTTCGACGACCCATTTGGCCAATCGACCTGATAGTTCAGGATTGTGCAAAATATTACGAAGTGGCTAAGTGGTTAATATGCATATGAGGTGACACTAAAAGTATGGTTTTAACTTTCTAAAAGCGCTTATCAATGCAAGTGCTAATTTTTCTATGTGTGGATACCTAGTTTCTACTTCTCCTAAGGTTCGACTTACATAATAAATGGAAAATTATGTACCTTGCTCTTCCCGAACTAGGACCCCACTTATCACAATTTCCGATATTGCCAAGTACAAGTAGAGTTTCTCATATGCCTTTAGAGTGTGAAGCAGTGGTGGGCTCGATAAGTATCGCTTCAATTCCTTTAATGTTTGTTGGCATTCCGAGGTCCAGGTGAAATCGTTTTTCTTTTTGAGCAAAGAGAAAAATTTGTGGCTTCGATCTGACGACCTCGAGATGAATCGGCCTAAAGCAGTTATCCATCCAATTAGCCTCTGCACGGACTTTACACTATCTACGACGGTGATGTCTTCGATGGCCTTGATTTTATCAGGGTTGATCTTGATCCCCCGATTCGACACTATGAAGCCCAAGAATTTGCCCGAACCGACCCTGAAAGCACATTTCTCGGGGTTGAATTTCATGTTATATTTCCTCAAAATCTCGAATGTTTCCTGCAAATGAGCCAAATGGTCCTCTGCGCGCAGGGACTTAACTAGTATGTCATCAATATAAACTTCCATTGACTTACCTATTTGTTCTTTGAACATCTTATTACTAGGCGTTGGTAAGTAGATCCTGCATTGTTTTAGCCTGAAGGGCATTACAGTATAATAATATTCTCCAAACTTGGTGATAAATTTCCTGGTCTTCCGGGTTCATCTGGATTTTATTGTACCCGGAATAGGCGTCGAGAAAGGTAAGGATCTTGTGCCCAGCCGTGGCATCGATCATGCGATCAATGTTAGGTAGTGGAAAAGAATCTTTAGGGCATGCCTTGTTCAAATCCTTGTAATCTACACACATTCTAAGTTTGTTCCCTTTTTAGGGACTACGACTACATTGTCTAACCATTCGGGGTATTTCACCTCCCGAATGGACCCTATTTTGAGAAGTTTAGTTACCTCGTCCTTTATGAATGCGTGCTTTACCTTGGAATGGGGCCTTCTCTATTGTTTCAGCGGTTTGAACTTGGGGTCAAGGCTTAGCCGATGTGTTGTTATCTCCGGTGGGATCCCTGTCATGTCTAAATGGGACCAAGCAAAATAATCCATGTTATCAATAAGAAATTGAATAATATTTTTCCTAAGTTCGGGGGTTACAAGTATACCTTTCGCTCGGGCACGTACTCGATCAATATAACCTATTCCAGTTCTTCGACCGTTGATTTGGTGGCATCAGAGTCATCAGGAACAATAAAGGTTCGAGGGGTCAGAAAATCCTCATCTTCTTCTTCTATCTCCTGCTTTCTCGATCCGGTCGAGGCTGGTGGCTGTGATTACTATTTGGTTTCCTGTTTTACCTTTGATGCCCGACCTTTCCGTCGATACCGGTATTACCTCGTCGACCACAAACATTTCCTTTGCTGCTCCCCGTACATTGTTTTTACACTGTCGTACAACGGGAATTTCATCATTTGGTAGAGAACCAAAGGGACTGCCCTCATATTGTGAATCCAGGGCCTTCCGAGTAGGGCATTGTACCTCATGTCGCCCTCGATCACGTGAAATTTAGTATCTTGAATGGTTATAGCAACGTTTACCGGTAAATATTTCACTGGCCATGTTGAAGCCCTTTAAGACCTGAGCTGCAGGCACAATTTGATCTTGTAGGCCGAGTTGCTCCATGACCCTCGATCGGATGATATTCCCTGAGCTACCTGGATCACTAAAACACGCTTAACTTGAATTTTATTAAATAAAACACGCTTAACTTGAATTTTATTTAATAAGATAGAAATTACCAGAGCGTCGTTGTGTGGCTAAGAAATGCCTTCTGCTTCTTCGTCGTTGAACGATAAGGAGCCTTCAAGCACATAATCTTGGGTTCATTTTTATCACGACCCCAACCCCGGTCATGATGGCGCCCAATACACTGCTAGGCAAGCCCGATCATTCAACAACATTATCCCAAATTCTTATTCAGATTAAAGATAAATATCACAGAGAATTTACTAAGTCATTTCATTCAAGTGTATAATTAATAATAAAATCTGCGGAAGTCCAATTAAAATACCACACCATAGCCCAACAGAATCCGGTGTCACGAATATGAGTCTCTAATACAGAATATCCACCTATTACAAGTCTGTCTAGGAAAAATACGGAATAAAAGATAGAGATAGAGGGGAGAGATCAAGGTTGCAAACGCCATGCAGCTACCTCAATACTCCCGGATACTGCCTGCTCAACTAAACAATTCCTCACTTAGCTTGTGGTGTACCTGGATCTGCACGCAAGGTGCAGGGAGTAATGTGAGTACTCCGACCCAGTGAGTAATAAACATAAATAAAGGCTGAGAATAAGAAATCATGGAAAAATACAAAGTAAACTATAACTGGCAGTTTAGAACAACAAATAGTGAAGCAACAAGTCAATTAAGTCAGAGTACCAAATACTGAGACAGGTATAACAGATAAAAACAAATGCATGAGTGCAATGCAATGCGTATGATGGTACACTCTAGTACCCACTGCAGCGTGCAACCCGAGCCATCCATTTATTTATCGTTCGACGGCGCTCACTGGGGGTGTGTGCAGACTCCGGAGGGGCTCCTACAGCCCAAGCGCAATATNATCTACACTGTCCAGAATTTTCGGCTATTATTCACGCGTGTTACTATACATGGTACTGTTCATGGGGGGTACTGTTCACGGGGTACTATTTCTGCAATTTTCTCCAATTTTTCAAAGTCCGAAATCACTCCGAGACACCTCCGAAACACTCCCGAGCCCTCGGGGCTCCTAACCAAACATATACACTAACTCAATAACATCCTATGAACTTAACCGTGCGATCAAATCGCCAAAATAACGTCATATATCACGAATTAAGCTTTAAAATCAAGAATTCTTTCAAATTTCATAAAACATCAAATTTTCCATTTTGAGTATGAAACACGTCAAACGACGTCTGTTTTCAACCAAACTTTACAGAAAGTACTTAAACCATATATAAGACTTGTACCGGGCACCGAAACCAAAATACGGGCTCGATACCATCACTTTCTAATCAAATTTCATTTCCATTTTCCTTAAATATTTTCAGAAAGCAATTTTACTCAAAAATTCATTTCTCGGGCCTGGGACCTCGGAATTCGATGATTCTTGTTCCTATGAGTCACATATAATAATACGAACATAGACCTCCAGTCAAAAATCAATTCGGAGCTCATTTGCTCAGTTCAATACCCATTTCGCTCGTTAAATAATTAACTCATGTTTCGCGTCAAAACCCAATCGCGACTTGATGAAATTAGACCAAACTTTCCAGATCACTCCTATAATTCATTATCAAAATTTTGGAAGTCTCAAAATCAAATTTCAATCTCTAGAACTAAAAATGTACCTTTGGATCATTACATGCTCATAATCGAAATGCCAAAATCTTCCAAAAACTCTTCCAAAACATATCCGAGCCTCATGGGACCCCGACCAAACATGCCAACATAACTCATAACATCATTCAAACCTGTTCCAATCATCAAAACACCTCAAACAACATCAAATTACCCAAAACTCATCGAATTCAAGTCTAAGTTTCCAAAAACTTCCGAAATACACTTTCGATCAAAAACCCGACCAAATGATGTCCGAATAACCTGAAATTTTGCACACACATCAGAAATGACATAACGAAGCTTCAGCAACTCTCGGAATTCCATTCTGACCCTCGTATCAAAATCTCACCTATCAACCGGAGTTCGCCAAAATACTGACTTCGCCAATTCAAACCTAATTCTACACCGGACCTCCAAAACCACTTCCGATCACACTCTTAAGTCACAAATCACCTCCCGGAACTAACCGAACCGTCAGAATTCATATCTGAGCCCTCTAACTCATAAGTCAATGTCTGGTTGACTTTTCCAACTTAAGCCTTCTTAAAAGAGACTAAGTGTCTCATTTCTTATCAAAACCAACTCGATCACATAAGATACGGATAATAAAGCATAAAGAAGCTGAGAATGGTAAAAACAGAGCGGTAACCTATGAGACGACGGATCGGGTCATCACAGTTTTTCCCTAGTGATTGACACCTTAGTGCGTTTGAATATGGGTCCCTGTGGAACATCGACCCCACCGACGATCATATGAATGACATGCTGGGGTTCTTCCTGTTCATTTGTCCTGTTGGCATCCCTTTCTCTAAAATGATTTTTGGCTCGATCGCTAAGGAATTCTCGAAGGTGACATTCGTTTGAATAAACGGGCTACCTCTTCCCTCAGTTTCTTGCAATCTTCAATTTTGTGACCATACGTGCCATGATATTTGCACATCAAATTTGGGTTTCTTTGGGAAGGATCAGTCAGTATGGATCTGGGCCACCTAGTATCTTTGATCCTCCCAATTGCTGATACAATGCCCGATGTGTCGATGCTATAGTTATATTCTGATAACCGAGGTGCTTCCACAGGATCGTCACGCTTATCAAAACCACTTTTGCTCATAAGTCCCCGAGAATTCTGCCCCCGATCGCTTCTTCGATCATTCCGAGAAGGATTGCGTCCTGAACCATTGTTCCTTTGATCTATAGCATATGGCTGATATCGTTCTATGTTCGACCTTGGCTCCCTGTCAATGTCTCTCGAGGTTTTAACTGCCAACCTGTTTGGATATACTGAACCAAAAGGGGCTCCTAATTGGTCGTCATCGACCCTGATCTTCGATTGATATTGATTGTGCACATTTGCCTAAGTTACAGGTGGATACTCGACGAAATTTTGTTTCAAATGTCGTGATGCAATCGAACTCTGCTAGTTTAACCCTTGGGTGAAAGCTTGAACGGCCCAATCATTTGTGACCGGTGCCAACTCCATGCGTTCCATTTAAAATCGGGATATGAACTCCCTCAGCATTTCGTAATCCCTTTGTCTTATCTTGAAAACGTCTGATTTTCTTGTTGCAACCTTTATGGCCCCTTCACGAAAGAATCTGCTAATATGGCGAATGAGTCGATGGAATTTGGTGGCAGGTTGTGATACCAAATCATTGCTCCCTTTGACAAAGTTTCTCCAAATTTTTTCAACAAAACAGACTCAATCTCATCATCTTCTAAGTCATTTGCCTTTATTCCGCACGTGTACGAAGTGATATGTTCATTAGAATCGGTGGTCCCATTGTATTTAGGTATATCCGACATATAAAACTTCTTAGGAATGGGCTTCGGAGCCGCACTCTGAGGAAAAGGCTTTTGCATAAACTTTTTCGAATCCAAACCTTTTAGGATCGGGGTGCCCTCGATATCTGATCAACTCGAGAGTTGTATGTTTCTACTTTTTTATCATTATCTTCGATTTTATTCTCTACCGACTCAATTCTTTTGGTGAGTTCCTCGAGCATTTTCATAATTGTAGGATCAGTCCCTGATCCGTTTCCATTTGACCTCTCTGGCACTGGCTCGGTACGGCGAGTAATTTTCGGCTCGACCATACTTGGAGTTCTTTGTTAACTTTGAAGCTGAGCAATAGCGGCCTGCTGAGCCTGTAGCATCTCGAATATTACCTGGAGACTAACTCCCCCGCCTCCTACGCCCTGTGTTCCTTGGCCACCAAATTGGCCTTCCTTGCGCACACTCCCTTCGGGGTCCGTGCCTAAGTCCGCATTCAAAGCAATTTGCAAACTGACATCGGCAACCGGTACTCCCCCAAGGTTAACCGGTGTCACCCTAGCTCCTGGAGCAATTACATTGTCATTTTCCGCGTGAAACTCGAGACCATCCTCACCATGTACGGGTGTGTTTTGCGAGTTTGGCATGTTTTAGCCTGAAAGCAAAATTCTTGACAAGAACATAAATAATGTGTGTTATCAGAATCAGCACCGAACAATCACTATTATCCTTAGCCCAATGGTGGGCGCCAAACTGTTTACCCTAAAATTCGAGTAACAATTAAACTTATATTGTAGTTTTAAGGATATGTGATTTAATCCAATACCAATTGATAAGCAAGGAATTAAATAGATAAGCTAAAGAATAAAGTAGATCAAACCAATGTGTAAGCTAAGTATCGACCTCGACTTGTTACAATCTCGAGGTATAATAATGGGAATAAATGATAAAACAACTCTGAAGGACAGTAAGTGAAATAACAAGAGAGTAATGTGCGTATATTTTCTTATCAGTCAACAATGGGTTACAAATGAATGGGATCCCCTTTTATATAATAGGGGAGTCCTAAATAAGGTACACTTCTAATTACAGTAGGAAATTATATTTGACAGTTGTCTAATCGCCGAAGACCAACCCATTCCGAAATTTATGTTGTGATCTTCGTGTCGTTGCCAGTATCTCGCCCTTTCCGTTACTGAATCATAACGGTATCATCTCGAAGCATGCCCTCTTCTGACCTCGACATTGGAAAGGAGCTTCGACCCCGAGCTCGGCATTCTGGCCTTCCGATATGGTATCACTTTCTCCATCGAAGAACGAAATCGGATAGCCCTGATTTCCACCGTATACAAGATTACTATCGATTATCATCTAGTTCAGTTTATACCAACAAAAATCTTAGACATGTTATTATCAAATTATTTTAACGAATAAGTAAAATTTTTTCTTTTCTTTTTTATTTCCCATTTTCGACTCGTCTTTCTTTAGGCCCATAGAGCTAGCATGAGGATAACGTAAACATGTTTAACGGGTACTAATCCAATCAAACCAACTTCAACTATTTACTATCTCAAGTCTATACTATCAAATTAATTAAGTCACACATTAGGCTCAAATCAACTAGTTGCATCTTGCCATTTCTTGGCCACATATATGGCATATATTTCACTTTTTAAAATTGACTAATCTTTAAATATATTATAAATTGTGAATATATTTTAAACAACACGCTTGAAAGTGTGGTGTCATTTCCACATAAAGCTTTTCTCATTTTCTTATATGTTCTCCTTTTTAGTTTTAGTTTTTGTTTTTGTTTTTCTTTTTTCCGCAGATTTTCTTATAGGCTTCTACCTGCAAACTCCTTAGAGTAAATTGATCTTGTTATATTTATCTAGTACAACTTTATATTTTTGGTGCTCGGGACCCAGGTAAGGTAATTAAGAACTCATATATGTATCTCGGGTATATTATCCAGGGTAACAGGGAGATTGACGAGGATATCGCACATTGCATTGGAGTGGGATGGATAAAATGGAGGCTTGCGTTTGGCGTCTTATGTGATAAGAATGTGCCGCCAAGACTTAAAAGTAAATTCTACAGATTGATGATTCGACCGACTATGCTATATGGGGCGAAGTATTGGCCAATTAAGAACTCACATATGCAGAAGATGAAAGTAGCAGAAATGAAGATGTTGAGATGGATGAGCTGGTATACCAGGAGAGATAAGATTAGGAATGAAGCAATTCGGGACAAAGTGGGAGTGGCCTCCGTGGAGGACAAGATGCAGGAATCGAGGCTGAGATGGTCCGGGCATGTAAAGAAGAGAAACATTGATGCTCTTGTCAGGAGGTGTGAGAGGCTGACCATGGCGGGTCTGAGAAGAGGTCGAGGTATGCCAATGAAGTATTGGGGAGAAGTGATTAGATATGATATTGTGCGGCTTCAACTTACTGAGGACATGACCCTTGATAGGAAGGTATGAAGGTCGAGGATTACGGTAGAAGGGTACTAATTAGTTGTAAGTTTCTCCTTTTCCTACCAGTTTCTTTAGTAGTACTCAGGTTCATGTATATGCTTAAGTAGATCGTTACTTCGTCATGTGAATTAGTTCGCCTCTGCTATCGTATTCCCTATTGTTAGTGTATAGTACTACTAACCTCCCCCCCCCCCTTCTTTTTTTTCATCCTTTTATTCCCATTCTTCTTCTTCTCACTCTTTCTAAGTCGAGGATCTATTCACTACAAGAAATAGAGGATACGCCGACATTATATAAATGTCGTATTATGATGCTTAAATGTCATAAATTTAATTGCCGACATTTAATTTACATTTGACCTAAATGTCGGAAATTTTCCGACATTTAGGTAAATGTCGTAGAAAAATTTGCGACATTTATTTACAGACTTTTATAAAAATGTCACTTGAATTTTCTGACATTTAAGGTAATGTTAGTAAAATATTTACGACATTTATTATAGACCTTAAGAAATGTCACATTTATTTTCAAACATTTAGGTTAATGTCAATAAAAACATTTACGATATTTCTTTAAAACTTTATGAAATGTCATTAAAATTTCTGACAATTTCCTGAAAGATAATAATAATCAGTTATTTAGTTCACTATTCATGACACTAATACTTATTCGTGCATTTGTAAATATCAAACATCATACACAATGTAACAAACACAAATTATATGTAAAGTGAATGCTTTCAGTACTGTATCCAAAGAACAAAAGTAGTGATCGAGTAATTGTACTCGGTACAAATTTGAACAATTTAAAAGATGTCAACATAAAATTGCACCAAGATCGCTCATAACTCAAATTAATTCCTTTAACTTGTACAATAAATACAACGACAACGTGGATCCATCTTTTCACAACTCAAGCATTCCCTTGCCAGTAATTGAACTGACATCCTTCAAAAGCTACACAAAAATTCCACATAAGAATTATAACAATATAATAAAGGAAAAAAGTAAAAGTGCCCTTGTATACTTTTTTTCAACTCCATTATTTCTAGTCTTATGGATTGTAACAAGCAAGAATTATTATAATAATAGTACTTCGTTAGATTATGGAATTCAAAGCTAAGAACTTTACCAGGAACATGACAAACTATTGCAACTCAGTTCTGTGTAAGCAGTTGCATCATCCTGCTTCTGGTGCAAAAACGGAGGATATCAGTTAGAAGAAATTTCCCAAAGCAACAAAGATCTCATAAAACTTCTACTAAACATACGATAAGTGATCATCATCGCAAACCTGAATCTATCTTTTCCGAAATTGATACTAACATAAAAGTTAACCTATTCAAGCACCATAAGGCAAGACATCTCCATTTCTTTCAAAGGCCCTTTTTCAACTGAAACATGAGGAAGAAAAAGTGTCACAATCTCAAAAGGATGACAACTTGTCTTATTCTTTTCTGCAACTCATTTAAAAGCGAAAATTGAATAAGTAAGGCATGTCATGGCTACATTACCACTTATCAGTGTCAAGAATGTTAGCATCCATATTACGGTGACATAAAACGTATGAAGAAGGGATAAAACAGAGCAATACTTTTATAATATCATAACTATAGTCATAAAGATCCTTAATAACACCAAAAGCAACTTAAGAGGAAAGAAGGAAGACTTGATTAACTATTAGCTTACTTTCAGAAGTTAGTAAAAATTGAAATAGTCAAACGAACACCAGCTTCAACAACACCAATCTGTAATAAAACAACTACAACAATATATACCAAAATACATGCATCTAAACCCTAGAACACACACCACATAATTGACCCAACGGCATAGCCTATCATTCTAAACATCAAATATTCAACAACATAAGTAATTAAAAAGAAAAGGAACGAAAAAAATATATATAAAAAAACAAATAATTAAACGAATTATTTAATAATATTCAGATAAGATTGATTGATTTTGAAGAAATATATATATATATATATATATGGGAGTAAACAATAATGACAAAAGTTGCTGAAATCAGAATCATCGTGGTGGCAGAAAAAGATATAGGCATTAAATTGATATGGAGATAGAGAGAGATGAGTTAGGATTACCTCATGATGTGGCCGCCGATTATGGGAGAAAAGGGAAAGTACGACAATCGTTAGAAGCGAATTGACAGCGTGGGGAGCAAAATGAGGGCAAAGGCAGGGTTTGAATTATTAGTAATCTTTTTGTGGAGGGAATAGGAGGGAAAAAATTTACATTTTAACTTTTAATTATTACTATCTTTTAGTGGTTAATCCCTCCAAATATTGACTGATATGATGATACTATAACTAAAAGTGTCACTAATTTCCATCTAAATATAACATTTAAGTTAATAGTCACAATATTTTGTGACATTTTAAACAAAATGTCACTATTTTGTGACATTTCTAAAGAAAATGTCAGGAAATTATATATTTTTCGATATTTACGTCAAATGTCACTAAATAAATGTCGTTGTATCCATGATTTCTTATAGTGAAAGCTCTATCACTGCCCACCGTAGACTTGCATAACTTATTAGTTAAGTAAATTTTTATGTGATCTACTGGAATTATTGTTTTGTGTTTCAATATGGACTTTTCATTAGAAACCATCCAATTAAGTTTCTGTTACCTTGATCATCTTGCTTTGGGTCATTCTTCAGCAGTAGAGTTCCTTTCTGTCTTGGACTCTGAATGTAGCAACACTACACTTTGCCCAGCCCAAACTTCTTCCTCTTTTGACAAATTAATCTTCATGTAGGTTGCAGAAGTGATATATATTGTGGTGTTTAAATTAGCTTAATTG